CCACAAAACACCAACGTTTCAGCCACTCTGCCCTCTTTGCTCGGACACTCTTGCTGTGGAGCTCTGCTCCTCCCCTCTTCCTCAGTCGACTTTTTACCTCCCCCTTTGGAAGCAACGCGGGTTTTAACTCTTGGGGTTTATGCAGCACGTGCTCAAGCCACCCCCACTGCAACCCTTACTACTGCAGCGTAACCAACGCCACCTGTAACCCTCAAGCACGGTGTCGAGCAGCAAGCGTTACTTCTCCGTCCTTACCGAGCTATCGGAAACTTGGACTTCTTTTCCTTGTCATAAGAATAATCTTCTTCCTCCACCTCCTCATCCTCCTCCTCCTCCTCCTCCTCCTTCTTCTTCTTTTTCTTCGTCACTATTTCACCTCCATCCTCCAACTTCCGCTTCTGCAAATAGTAAAATACAAGTCAGAATCAAAGCGTCTCCTGATTGTGGAATTGGACCTGCAGCCCCAGAGCCACTTTGGGCCCTCTCCCAAGAACTGCAGAACAGCTCCTTCCCCACTGCACACATTAACCCAAACCCCACACGTCCATCAACACGGTTCTGGCACACACCATCTCCAACAACTCACAGCACACCCAACTTTTCCATGAGAGACGGTCCCATCAATGAAGGTAAAGGGACGCCAAGTGCTCCTGCTCCTTCCCCTTTCAGCCACCTCCATTCGGCATTAGGAAAATGGACCTTCTCCTACAGACACTGCCACCAAAGAGGAGCAGCAATATCTTCATCCCCATAACGCCTAACAATTTTTCAGCATGACAAGGTCCTACTGTCACCTCTACTCCAGGACCCAGGCAGCCCCCGAGGAGTCTCATCCATACCAAGCATGCTTCGTTTTACTGTTTCAAGTGCTCATCCTTATTCTATCCACACAAACTCACATATCTCTCCCTACTTCGGATACTGACACACTTCATGCAGCAAACCCTCCGAGCTCCAGCAGGGGAAATAATCGAGAAAGCTGGCTTCCTGACCTTGGGACACTTCTTCTTCTCTTTAACATAGTCATCTTCAGATTGAGACACTCGCCGGAATTGCAGTGGTCCTGTGTTGATGTAAAACCCTCCATACTTCGTAGTAAGAGAAGCCGGAACGAGCTCGTCGTACTGGAAGTAACAGAGAACAATCTATTGGCAAGGTGAGCTTTCTTACCTTATTCTGTAGCTGAGCTGCTTAGTGACTGGAGTGGCACTCGTGCTCCCCCAAGAGCAGACGGGGGCTGCGGACTCACCTGCTGGCCAGCGTTCTCCTGCCACGTGGCTGCCACAGCAGCTCTCGGTTCCCAGCACTGGCATACTCCTGGCTCACACCCGCTTCAGGTTCCCCCCAGGCGCCAGCTCAGCCCCCAGGCAGCTGCCTGCAGCCACCCTCACCCCCTGCCCCAGAACTCACCGCTTCAGAATTATCGATGAAGGAGTCAGATTCGTCGTATCCATACCCCATGTCAATCAAGTCCTGAATACGGTCCTTCCTACATCTCTTGCCACCCTAAGCAATAAAAGATTGACAGTGAGTTCACCTTTTTTTTTCCAGTTACCACGGGGATGGCCCTGGTACAGGACACAACGTTGGCAGCAGTACAGAAAAGAGAACGGGATCTTTTTTGCTCCTAGCAGCAGCAGAACCAAACCAGTCTTAACTAGTTGACAGCTGAGCAGCATTGCCCATTCTAAGGGATAACACAATATAAAGAAGAAAAACATACATGTTTTTCTCCAAATGTCCTAGCAGGACCCTCCACTTCTTGCCTTTCCTTTTCACCATCATTAAAGGCATCAGCAGGGTCTTTATTCTGCAGAAATGAGACAGACAAAAACTTCAATATCAGTTCTGTCACACTGCCACCAAAAACTCATGCATTAAACCCATCAGGACTAGAACACCCAGGCAGAAGCTCAGACAGATTAAGCTTTAGTACAGTATTCTGAGAGAGTCTCTAGGCTTTGGGTGCTTTCTTGACTAGTTCTGCACTTGTCTCTGCTTCTCCCAACTCCCAAAACAAACAAACAAAAAAAAGCAGCATGAACCATGAGCTGAATGCTAAACAGTTCTGAAGAGCAACGGTAAAAATGAGGAGAATTCAATCAACGTTCTTTTCATAGAAAAACAACCATAATGCAAAGTTTAGGTGTCACAGAAGTTTGTGTGCTGTTATATCCTCAGAAATGACTTTCATCAGGCAGACACAATTGTCAGGCAACACCTGGAAGCACCATGTCCACCACATAAGCAGTGATGTCAAGCACTCCGGTGGAAACAGTCACAGGCAGGAGAGCGGGGTCCCCAAAAAGATGCAGCCACATACCGCAGAAGCATCCCTCCTTTTGATGCTCTTTGGAAAAGAGCTGCTCACAGCCGCTAGCAAGCCAGGTACCAGAAATCACTTTAGATCGAGCAGTTCAGAACCAAACAAGCATTACCTTCCACACTCCGCCACCAACACATCACCTTTCTGACGTGACATCCCAGCCAAGGCAAAGGGGTGCGACAGCGTGGCCTGACAACGACAACCCCTGCCTGGATGCCAGTTCTCCTGCCCGCGGGACATCTCACCACCCTCCCTCCTTCCACCTCTCGGCACCTCACAGCTAGAACACAGCCACCTCGCAAAACAGCCTTAAAACAGCAATACCAAAAAAAGCCTTTGAAATCTTCAGATACAACACACATTCCTCAGAGGCCACAAGAACGCTTACCTTGTCCTCTGAAGAACCACCTGTTACGCTCCCTTGACAACTCTCCAGAAGATCTGGGTAGAAAAATTCTGGACAATGTTTGTTATCTGGCTTGAAGAGAGTGACTGTGATTCGAACAGTTTTTGCAGCTGGTTCAGAGTCCTGGGGCTGCTCTCCATCATCTTCCCGAGAACTTCTGAAGAATCTGCTGCTTGGTGGACCGTGAAGAGTGGTGAACGAAACCCTGTGGGGCTCAGTCATGGCTATGGCCAAGTCTTACCAGTCTGCCCCAGCGGCGCAGATATGGATTTCACCAGCTGGTTAAGCAGAACTGAGGACGTTGGCACCAGAAAAAGTTGTTCGATTCCAAAGTTTTCTTGAGAAATGACAAAGGCCCGTGCTGCTAGCACTCGCTGCAATCACTAAAGAGAAAGAAAGAAGCCAATCCTCAAACCAGAATTGCCTCCAACGTTGGCAGCCCCCCACGCTTGCACTTCTGCCCACCCTCAGCTCGCTGTCTTCACCCCACAGCGCTGTCGAGGAAAGCAAACGACCCCATCAGACTTGCTGGGACACAGCCCAGCAGCCCTGGGCAGAAACACTGAGCTCTCCTTGTCTGTGGGAGAGACACCTGGTCCCCGGCACCCGTGGAGGGCTGAGGGGGAGCGGGCCACAGGGCTGAGGCGGGGGCGGACCGGGGCCCTGGTGCTGAGGAGAGACCGAGCCGGCCGCGCTGAGGGGGAGCAAAGCTCATTGAATAGATATACTTATGCCTTGATCTATCATCAAAGACACTCTCTGTACTGATAAGGCTCTCATCTACCAATGAAGATTTGTTTCTGAATCCAACCTTTTCCTATTATATCATAAATGCCATCTTAGTAATGACTGAATCATCCCTTCAAATCATTTAATAATGTTTCCACTGTCCCATGAGCAGAAGGTTCCCATATTTTTAACCTACTACAAAGTTAACCAGAAGTTTCGTTTAAATTCTTCACTCACTGTCCCATCAATGAATATTCTTACCAAATAATTAGAGTCCGCGGGGGCAAGATGGCGGCGGCCGTGGGCACAGGGCTTGGTCGCATCCCCCTCAGCACAGCAAAAGCCACCCAGGTGTCAGCCACCACCCTGCCCTCCCGGTCCCTGGGGAAAATAACCAGCGGGAGAGATGGTGGGATGGCAGAGTTTATTATTAAAAAAAAAAAAAAGCAAATGGATGATTTATGGGGACAAACAGAATCTGTCATGTATTTAGAGCTGTGAACAGGCACCTGGAGAAGGGCCTGAAGGCAGGAGGAGCTCTGCTGCAGCAGTGGGGCAGCTGAGGAAAGCCCTGTCACCAGAGGGAGACCCTCCATCCCCTCGGCACTCATCTCTGTGTCACTGCCCAGCGCCGCCACCCTCGGGGCCGGCCCAGAGAGAACTGCACTCCAGCCCCAGCAGCTACAAAGCTGGGGATCCAGAGAGAGACCGGCTTTCAGGGCAAAACGCCTCGTCCTACACTAGGAAAGCCCTGGGGGACCTTGTTCCCTGGGTTTCATCATGCCCTGTTCCGCAGCAAGGTGCAACATCGCTCTCCCTGCCCTTACACTCCAGCAAGGCTGCACAGGGAGTTCAGACACAGCACGGTTTGGAGGAGTCTGATATTCCAGGTGGAGCTCACAGCAGGTTCACGGTGGTGTCCAACTGTTCCACAAACCCTCCCAGCAGGGAAGGTCCACACTCAGGCAGGGAAGATCTCAGGACCTCCCAGAGCTCAGTGCCAGGACTCCACAGCCTGCGCTGCGCATGACAGAGGACTAAGTAGCCCTCCCAGTCCTTCCCGAGCCCCAAATCTACACAAATCCATCCCCACCTCACTCTCCCCCTTCTATTCTCGTGGTCTGCACAGGGCTACTGTGTCAGTTGACACGGAGCGAGACCAACCATGCTGGGTTAGGCGAGGGACCGTGCAGCCAGCACCGGAGACCCACAGAGAACCAGGGCAGACCTGCAGAAGCCGCTTCCCTGCTGCCAGCACCCAGAGCCAGAGAAACTTGTGCGTTTAACAGCATTTGGTGAATTGTCCTTCTGTGGACTCGCCACTCACTTTTGAAGTCGGGTGAACTTGTACCAGCGCTGGCACACAGTGCTCCCACCAAGGCAGAGTGAGCAGTTTGTCCCACTTATTCCTTATCTTGGAATAAGCTCTTACCCCACAGGGAAACTTTCCCCCTTATTCCATAGCAGCTGAATTTTTTAAAAGCATTTGGTGAAAAACCTTACAGAAATGCAGGTAAATTATATCAACCACATCACCTTGTAGTGACCAGAGCACCCATCCCAGCGGCAAGGAGCACACGTTCTCCTGTGCCAGGCAGGGCAGGTCTGAGAACAGGCAGGAACAGGCACAGAGCCCAATTTTCACTTCAATAAATCACCTTGAGCTACTTGGGATTTAAGATGCTGCAGCAAACAAAGCAATAATACCAACTACTTACTATAGCAGAGAGAGAAAAAGAAAGAAACAGCTACTGTTGCAGGGAGCTGAATGGCAGAGTTACATACAGGGAGCAGCTCCCAGGACCCCTCCACCCCCACGCAGAACAGAAACCCCCACAGCATGCGACGCCGCAGCAGGATCCACAGTTAGCCCAAGCAGCTGTGATGAAACGGATGGAAACGTCCCGTGCCCAGTCAGGAAGACGTACGTCCCTCAGGCTGCTCTTCTCACGCATAGATCCAGTGCTCGGCTGTGTCCTCCCAGCAAGTCAGCTCCTCCGGGCGGAACCAGAGGGAGATCTCCTGCCGGGCACTCTCAACCGAGTCGCTGCCGTGGATCACATTCCTGTGGGGAAGAACAACGGGATCAGCTGGCACTAAGCAGAGAAAGGTGGGAGAGGAAAGCTTGGAAAGTTTCACCTTGACCAGTTTAATTAAAGCGACTGAGCCAGTGAGTTCCTACAATATTCCTTCCCACCCCACAGCCCCGCTCCTTCCAGCTCAGGGGCTGTTCCTGGTTACGCTGAACGTGGCTGAGGTCATGGACACGCGGGAGCTGCCAGTTCCCAGCACTCCTATGATGAGGAACATTTGTTTGCTACCAGAAGAGCTACAAGTGGCTGTTTACCTGAGAAGGCCTCAGGAGGCAGGAAAGACACAAAACCAGGCTCTCCCCTTCTGGCAAAGCCAGCTCTAGGAGGCAGAGGTCGGCACCTCCTGCCAGGACTGCTCTGCAAGCTGTCAGAGGGAGACAGCTCTGATCTGAGCACAGAAGGGAGAAGCTCTGCTCTGCAGATGTAGACTCCTGTGGGTCCGGCAGACCTTGCACAGGAATGC